AGATAATATCGTATGGGAAATATGAATTGTTTGGTTCGAATCTGAATTGTTGAGTCTTGATATGGACACTTTTAACGTTGTTGCTATACAGTAATATAATTCTTCAATTTTGATCTATTTGGTTGAGAGATTTCACCAAAATCCTTTCCTTCAATTTTTGTTTGTACTTTGTTGAAAGCATCAAAAGCACTGTCTAAAGCTTTGAGCCTTATTTTTAATTCATCTAAAGAAACGCCACTTGAATCTTCTTATATACGTTTTACAAAATCATTGACACGGTCAATTTGCTGTTCGGTCACCGTACGACGAACCTTTAAAGCTAATAGTGCTTTATCAAGTTTTTTGCCGGAGCATTGCACGGAATCAACTCCAGTTTTTAATTCCGTTTGATCATCCATGAAAAGGCACGTGGTTAATTGACGTAGTTATTATGCAAATTGTTTAAGAAACTTATCTCGCCGGGGCCTCCAAAGTGTAGATGTTGCAAGTTGCTTGCTTATGAGAAAGCGAGTATTGCCTTTTGCTTTGTCATGTAAAGAAGTTCTTTTTTGCGCTCCTGCTTTATCATCTTAAAGGGAAAAGGTTTTGGTTAAAATATCATAATTTAAAATACTGTACTCGCTTTCTCATAAGCAAGCAACTTGCAACATCTATACCTCGTACAAACGAATGTATGGGGATCACTCGAAAACACTCTAAATTCTTTATATTGAATACCAACATTTGCACACGTATTATCGTTCGCAATGAAGGACAGTATATAAACATGTGCAAGTATAAATAAAAAGACATCGCATGTACATTCGGAGTGTATGCACAAAATTTTTCCCAAAATTAACTACACGCAATTATATCTCATGATATAACTCAATAGACATTTCAAAGCGTATTTATTGCATTATTTCTACCAGTGTATAAAATCTCACATAATCTTTCACATTCTCTTGTCAACGTTCGGTGCGGTTTCGGTATTCTGGCTTTTAACCATTATTATTATTATTAAAAGTCTTAAAGTTTGGCTACTCTGCGTCGTGTTGTGGTCGCGTTTTTATTCTGTGCAAGAAATATTTCAATTTTTTAGTGTATTTCTTGCTTTTATTTTTATTTTTGCTTTAATCGTGTTCAATTTTATAATTTCTCTAAAAGAATAAAGTGTTAATTTAACGTATATGAATATTATAATCATTTATGTGAAAAAATCATTTTGGTTTAGTGTAAGCAGCAATTGAGCTCTTTGTAAAAAGTCTCTTTTTTTTTTGCCTGTTAATCTTTTGTTTACAGTTCTTTAGCTTTCGCTCTTTATTTACAGTGGGCAAGGTAGTGAGATATTTGCTTTAATTCGCTTCCGGGGAATTTTTTAGTTTTTCTTTTTTCCCTTCATAAGCTACTTTTGTTGTTCCAATGGACATGGATTGCTTATTTACTCCATGTCCTGCGAAAACTGGCCCTGAATCTGAACGATTCATTTCTTGTTGGTTGTGTGATCGCTTTGGACATTCAAAGTGTGCTGGTCTTACCGGCCGTGCTGCTTATGCAGTCCTTGACCCTTCTAAAGATTTACGATGGTCATGTCCTGACTGTAGAAAGCGGGACATTGATTTCTACAAGCTCTTCACGGAGATGAGAAATTGTTTCTCAGTAAATAGGCAGATAACCCAGGGTATGGCATTGATATTCCTCATATTTTATTATGCTTATTATTTTATTATTATTTTGATTGGCTTTAAAGGTAACCAAAGAGACAATATTAGTGGGTACTCCAAGAGCTTGGTGCTGAGAGAAACTAATGTTGCATTAGGACTAGGCGAATGGCCGGAGTTGGGAGAAGACAAAAACGCAGTTGGCGTGAGTGTAATTTCTGTTGAAAACGAATCGGAAGAAGTGAAAAGTAAAGTGAATCGAGATGAAGTGGGCAAGGTGAATAATCCGGAAAGTTCGCTTGTTTCTGCTGGTTTTCAAACAGCGAATGGTAAAAAAATCTCCATATCGAAAAAAATCCGTACAAAATATTCTAAGAGAATTTCAAGACAATTTACAAGAAACGAATTATGAAACTGAACTAAAACACATAAAAACTCGGATGTCGATTAAAAGTATGGAGTCCAAGTTTGGAAAAACTGCAAACGGCAGTGCGCAAATAGCCAACAAAACAAGCGACTTACAAAAAAGGCAGAAAAACATTTAAGCATTCTACACGAGCAAATGAAGCTTTTATTGAAAATGGAATAGAAGGAATGGAAAATAAAGTTACCTTTAAAATGCATCAAGATAATGATGGCAAGGTCATTAATCCGGGAAGTTCGCTTGTTTCGGAAGAAAGAATGTTCGACTATCCCAGTAGTAGCAGATTGTCAGCAGCTGGTCCAATTCTGTGTCGCAAAAGGCTTTTATCATTGTCATTAAACCCAAAATTTAATTATAGGCCACCCCCCAACTTTGTGAGACATCCAATAGAAACACACGACAAACCGAGACTACGGCAGCAGAATTAGTGGAGTTTATTAATAATGCTGTTGAAACACGTACAGCAGGCGTCAAAGAGGGCTCTCGGGCTTAAGACGTACTGGCATTAGTCCAAAGAAATAAATACTATTTTACTCATTGTGTAAAAGTAACGGAAGCCATTTTTTGAATTCAAAAACGTCTCGATATCTTTTTTCACTTAAATTAGTTTTGCATTTTATTTAATTAATGACATTTGGATGTATTTTTCTTATCTGTTTTTTGTATCTTTTTGCTTTTTTCTTATTTAATGACTTTCTTATTATAATATTATTTATATATATATATACTATTATACTATTTTATTTTACATTGTATAAATTACATGCAGGTAGTTTGAATAAATTTGAAACCCTTTATTTAATTGTATGAAAAAACAGTAACTTGTTTGCATATAATTTTAGCTTAAATAAAATTAAAATAGTAAGATTTTGCTTGTATAATAAAAAACGAGTATAGTCTCTTTTTTTGCCATTTTTACCAAAAGATTTCAGATTAGTTCATCCTTTGTAGCATGCATTAAAATATTGTATACCATTTATTTATTGATATGCTTTTGGGCATATTTTCGCATGTTTTTCAACACTTTCTGTTAATTCTTACCATATATTCATACAAGTGCTTTTATATA